CCCGGCAGGCGATCCAGGGCTCCGGTGTCCCATACAGAGCCATCCCGGAGGGATCTTTCTATATCCTCTGTGGATATTATTGCTTCAAGATCCTCTTTGCCTTGGTGAACATTGTGAACAGAGTTTACATCTCAGATACTAAAACTAAGATCTAACAGTGGTAAGATTTCTTTGTGTAAGGGTGTTACTGTGTAAGAACAACAAAGAAGAGATGGTATGGATTTATGAACTGCTAAGATTTCTACTATTCTTTTAAGAAATAAGAACCTGTTTGTAAAGTGTTTTTATGAACTGAGAAGAAGAAAATAAGTCTTTTTTTTAGAAGTAAGAATTATTATATAAAATGCCACTGGATGTCTGAGAAAAAAATATGTCTGCTCTGCAACTCTGACTGGTATTAAGATCACTCCATGAGAATTTGTTTTGACTGTACTTTCTGTTATAGCAACTGAAGATAAGGTAGAAGGAAACTGGGTTCTGGGTGAAAAAGGAGATAGGAAAACAAAAAGGACAGAAATATAAATAAGGCCTGTTTTGGTTGGAATTATCACAGTGAACTTGGTGTTGAACTTTTACAGGGAATTTGGTGTTGATCTGAAAAAGAGGGATGAGGCCTGCTGTGACTTGGTTGGGATTTAAGGGGAAATATGTCTTCTGGAGGTAGTAGGACCTCCCCAGCTGTAGGTAAGACTGTTGCTTCAAGCCTTGCCAAAATAACAACTCAAGAAGTCCAGGCCTTGTTCAAAGACATAGGTTCTTCAGCTGTTGAACCTTTACAAGTCAAATTTGACGCCTAGCCTCTCAGGTGACTTCTCAATCAGAAGAATTATAAAAAACAGATACTGGAGAACACACAAGAGATCTCCACATTGATACGAAAGAGACTACTACTCAGCTGCAGAGCAAATCCGAGGAAGTTGACCAGGAAATACAGGAGATTAAAACCAAACAAGACCTTCTGGAAGCCACTGTTACAAAATTGGAAATAGAAAGAGTGGCATATGTTTTGAGATTCCAAAATATTCCTGAAAAGGTGAAGATGTCAAAGTGGATATGGCAAAACCATTAGCTGAATATTTGGAAGAAGACAATATCCAAGATGTCTCTGACAAGATAGATTTCGCTTTTGGAATGAACTCTGCATATGCGAGATGGAATAAGCTGCCTAGAGAGATTCATGTAAGAGTCTACAAGAGATTATGAGATATACTATATTACAGAATGTAAATAAGAAGCCACTACAAGTGCAGGAGACTGAAATTAAAACACTAAAGGAAATCCCTTGGAGAATCAGAGAGAAAAGAAGAATGCCCTCAACTAACAAGGGCATTAAGGGAAAATGGAATCTCCTATAGGTAGCTGTTTCCTGACGTGTTCTCTTCACTTATGGAGGCAAAATATTTCAGATAAACTCAATATTTAAAACAGAAGACTTTTAAAAAACATATGAAGACTTAGGAGTTCTGGAGGAGGAGGAAGAGGAATAATAATAATAAAAGGAAACCGATCCAGAGACACAAAGTGCAGCAGGACCAAAAACAGGAACCACCAGGAAAAAACCTTAAATACCCCGGCGTATGCCTATGAGACTTCAAGAAAAGAAAAGAAAAGAAATAGAATAAAAAAGATACAAAAGATAAATAAGAGGAAATTAAAGACAATATTGTACAGGATTAACCCACTCAGTCCAGTCCAGGAATGCGAGGGAATCCAGTATTTCAGCACATTAAACAATAAACTACGAGATTGTCTATACCCTCTCTGGTTTTCAGAACAATTTGCCACCAGAATCTCTTTTCAATAGTCCCTGCTTTTCCTAAGGGAAGAGATTCCAAACCCTTAGTTGGCATCTGGGACAGAACACATTAGCAACTGTAGCTCAGAGATGCACGCTTTTTACCCTCCAATGGTAGCCTATGTGGTTAGCGTTAGGCACAAGACTTAGAATTGGAATCCAAGTTACAACATCAGAGACAATTAGAAATAAGAAGGATCTTTATTCAGTACAGAGCACAGCAAACAGACTAAGAGATTACAAAATAACAAAGGCTAGGGCAACTTAACTACACATTAAAGATACATAGTTACCAATTCAGGAACATCCAACAGTCCACAATAGTCCAAGGGATTTTGAAGGGAAATCCCATCTTCGCACAAGCATGTGGTCCAAGTCACAAAGCAGGTCTTTGTTTCCCAAGAAACAGCATTTCAGGTGTCATAAAACAGACAATGACAAGAGGAGGAAGGGAGAGCTAAGAGACTCACTCCCATAAGGATCAATCAATTATGCCCCCAATTACTAGTCACAATTAGCTGTCAATTACTAGCCACGATTAGCTGTGGCTATCAGCCAATCACAGCAGCAGGGGTGTGTGGCTAATTTTTGGTTGTCATGGTTGCTAACATCAGGTTTGTGGGATTGGCTGGAAGTTTGGAGGCCCTGCCTGCAGTCAGATGGCCCAACGTCCAGCTTTCTCCATTGCCTATGTGACGAACCTCATGTGAGGCTTAGTGTGGAGCCTTAAAAGGTATGAAGGAATGTGGTATATGGCATGGCTATCAACTTGCTCCGGCCAAATAGTCAGGCCATTTGGCTTGTAACAGGAAATAAGACACAGCATGTTATTAGAAAGACATCACAGGAGAACGCAGGAGACTTTTAGAAATCAATATTTCTATCCAAATATCAATCAATGTTAATGGTTTGAATCAATGTTCCCTCTAAGCTGTGGAGTCTTGTGAGCAAAAATTCTACTTTGTGAGCTACTGGCATTTAAACTGTGAGCAAGCAATTTGGCTACTGCATAGATTAGTTTGCTCTGGAGCCATCCTTCCTGAGCCAAGACAAAAATGTGTGAGCCAGAGGCTAAGAAACGGTGAGCTAGCTCACACTAACTCAGCTTAGAGGGAACACTGCCTGTGACATATCACTAGATACTACCCTCCAATCAAATAAGGTGCCATTAACTACCACTCTTTAGGTGCAATTGTCCAACCAATTCCTTTTCCGCCTAACCATACTAATTTACAATGCCTGCTTATATTGAAAAATACAGAGTTGCATCTTACTATCTTAGGGGTCCTGCATTCGGCTCTATCCAAGTCGAAAAAATAGCCAGAAAATACCTTATTGGTATTTACTGGCTATTCTTTCAGTTGGATATAGAGGGGTGTGTGTGTGTGTGTTTGGCTACTGAGCCGCAGTTAATGGTGTTTAGAGAGAGTGCACTCCCTTTAGCCACTGTTCTAGGTGAAGCTGTAGCTTCATGAACGCATTTAAAGGAAGCATGACACCTTTAAATGCCTTTGGCTCCATTATAGCCTATGGGGACCATTATAGTCAATGATCCCCATAAGCTATAAAGAGGAATCTATCTGGGGGTATGCAGGGGTGTGGGGGGCTGTTTTTTTGAGATAGAGGCACCAAATTTTCAATGTAGCTTCTGGTGCCTCTACTCAAAAGCCCCCCCCCCCAGGTTTCAAAAAGATTGGACCAGGGGATCCAATTCTATGGGCCCCCAAAGAAGGTGCCTCCATCCTCCATTGTTTCCAATGGTGGGGAAAAAACAGCAAAAAACCAAGAACTGATGTCAAACCAAAGAGTCTCTGCAGTAGAAACTCAATGTGGGGATGGTTTTCCCCCCCAAGCCCAGCAGAACCAGTGCATGTATGGAGTGCCCACAAAAACCAGTATGCCAGTTCAAAAGATCCAAGCAGGTGTGTGTGTGTGTGTGCAAGCTTGTACAGAGTGCCCGGAGTGCCTGTACAGAGTGCCCAGTGCCCAGCAGAACCAGTGCATGTACAGAGTGCCAAAAGAAGGTGCCCGCATCCTCCACTGTTTTTAGTGGAGGAGGGGGAAAAAATTCAGGGAAGGCACTGGGTTTTGCTGGGCACTACTACATTGCAATGGGACTGCTCGGCACTGTACATGTGCTGGCTGCGCTACGCTTGAAAACCCCCCCTTGCTTGGATTTGTTGAGCTGGCATTGCCACGGTGGCACTGGTTCGGCAACAATGCCCCCCCTTCAGTTTCTACTGCAGAGACACTCTGGTTTTACATCAGTCCCTGCTTTTTTGCTGTTTTCCCCTCCATTGGAAATAATGGAGGATGGGGGCACCTTCTTTGGGGGCCACAGAATTGGACCCCCTGGTCCAATGTTTTTGAAACTTGAGGGGTCTTTTGAGGAGAGGCACCAGAAACTATGTTGAATTTTTGGTGCCTCTACCTCAAAAAACAGACCCCCCCGACCCCTAGATACCCCCAGATAGATTCCCCATTGACTATAACGGTTCTATAATGAACCCCCAAAAATTCAGGATTCCCGAAAAAATCTGAATCCAAATACCATATTGGCATTAGAATTCAATTTTTTTCAGGAATCCCGAATTTTTTTTGGGAGGGGGGGTGCACACCCCTAATACCTCTATTCCAGGAGCAACGGTTCCATTAGAAGCCATCTTAAGAATTAACAGTGTAAGAAACAAGAATGCTTGCTGCTTGGAGAATAGCCTGTTCTCTGTGTTACAGTTCTATGTTTGCTGTAAGAGCTAGTGATCTAAATGAGTTAGTGTATATTATTATCACATGGGTATCTAACGTTACTACAAATATACAATCATGGATTTTAGCAATCTTTTCCAAGATATATGAATGTCAATCAACCTATGGCCAGAGAAAACTACAGTGACAGTGCAATCAATGGACTTAGATGTTCGTAACTCTGCTTAGGATAGCACTGTGAGCCTTGCTTTGCTATGTCCCATAGAGAAAATGGAGAGCCATGTAGACATGATACACTGCACAGCTGAAACTGCCCCATACACCAGAATGAATGACTGGGAAAACCATTTGCAGGTTAGGCATATATGGCCCAGAACTCCCCTTGACTGCAATGAATTACTGGTAACAGCTGCACAGAAGATTGCCACCTTGCTTAAGTTTATTTTCATTGTTTCCTATCCTTGTGAATTTTCTTTAAAAAAGAAAAACTTACCTCAATGAGAGACCCATCCGACTGTATTATGCGAATGACCATAACTAGAGGGATGCAGATCATAGAAGAGAGAGCAAGACCCCAGCCTAGGCCAATTGCCCAGTCAGGATATATGTACACCTTGTTGTAGGTCAATGGTGTATACTTGGCCAGAGAAAAGATAAAGCATCCCTGTGTAAAGAGACGAAAAAGAGACCAAAGAAAAGATAAAGCATTCCTGTGTAAAGGGATCAAAAAATACAAACGTCTGATTGAAGATGTGCTACAAGAACTGTGGTCTGACAGTGTTTGCTGCATGGGTGGGCAATGTCAATGGTAATCATTCTATCACTTTATATCCAATGAAAATAATTAGCTGACAATAGGACACGTTGTCTATTACACTTCCATCCCACTCATCCTGCTGTTCAGGGCAGTGTATATGGTCCCTCCCCTTGACTGGCCCAAGGTCACTTGGGGAGCTTTATGGCTCAGTGGGGGGGGGGGTATGATCTTGGCTCTCCCTGATCAAACAGCTACAAGTACTGTAATTTTTCTAACAGCCAAGGGTTTTTTCCCCTCATCCCAGTGTCTGCACAGTGACCACACAGGGGCCCCCCGGAGTGTGATACAGGGGCCTCTGATCCACAAGTGACCATGCTTTCTTCACCTACTAACATGTGAGACCTCTTTAAAGGATCAGAAATCTAAAAGGCCACATCTATCTCATCCCTTTCTGTTTCATGCATCTCTATATCATCTGCTCTGCCCTGGTAGGCCAGAGGAATGAATGCACCACTTCAATGTACACATGCTCATGCTGTGTATGAGAAATCCCCCACTGTGTAGCTTGCCTTCCTTCTGAGAACTGTGATGCAATAATTTTAAACCTGGGGGGGGGATTCCTCTGTATTTTAGCCACTTTGTACCTGATTCCTGTTTTTTTAAAAACTGAGCAGTACTGTTATCATTTAAGTAATAACTGTTGCCTCTTCTGCAGCCAACACTATGCTGCACAACAAGTGTGATAACCTTGCTTGCACCACACTAGCACACTCCGCTAACAACAAAAAGGAGTCTTAAAGTCTATCAGATTTATCACACCATAAGATTTTGCAGGCTACAGACCAATTCATAGAGTGCAGCCTACAAAAGCTTGTGCCACAATAAACCTGTTAAATCTTTTAAAGTGTAAAAAGACATTTTTTTGTCAGGTTCCCCTTTTGGCTTTTATATCTACTAAGAAGGAGGCTTTTAGACATTCTTGCTTGTTTTCTGATAGGAATGTTTGGGATTTTGAAAGCTGCATAGTTGCGCTGCTTTAGCACATCTCTGTGTGTTCAATAATGCCACTTTACAGTCTTTCACTGATACAATATATAAAAGTTATACAATACAGAAATAATTATATGAATTAATTATTTAGAACATTCATTTACTACCTCTACAGAGACCTGAATATTTCAACACCCACCATGCAAAGAACTGGTGTGATTATCATCCAGCTCCATTTCATCCATGGACCAGGCCTATAACCAATCATATCTTCGATGGCATCGTAAATATTATCAGCGCCTAGAATTCAAACACAGCAGACGTCAGATTTGTTAGTCTCAATAATAGACTTCTCCTTCCCTTTATGAGCTGACCTTATAACTAGAGCAGCACTGAATATCTGAAGTGTGGTTTTGAATTATGCAAAACAAAAACAGAATCATGGGGGGGGATTACCTTACCCTTTTTTGTATTCAAAATTATTGTTCCCCTGATTAGCTGCTGCACATTTTAACAATTATAGGGCTTCTCCTTGCTTTTTACTATGTAATCCAGCCAATCAGAGATCACACATTGAAATGTGGCTATGTGATCATGCTAATGACCAGACACAAAGCTACATTGCCCTCACACTAGAATGTACATTCCAATGAACAACCCATCCAATCCTCCCAGGTTCTACATTTTCACCGCCACATGGCAAAATAGGGATATTGTTTTAGCACAGCCATGGAGAATATTTTCCCTCTCTGCCACCACCAAGCTTCAGGAACTGAGCCTTTGGCAGACCCCCAAACCCGTGATCCAGTCCCAGAAGAGTACAGAGCAGAAACTCAACATATTTGAGTAGAAGCAGAGCTCTGGCACTAAATTGTGCATGGCAGATGGTGGTGAACTCTCTCTGTCTCAGGCCAAGGCAGAATGTATCCCATGAAATATGATGCTGCTGGTTAAATCCCAGAAACACAGGGGAACAGGGAAATTACCCTACTACCGTAGTTGTTGTAGAATTCTGATCACTTTGCACTCTGCCATTTTCTGCTTTTTTCACTCTCCCATCTAACCTCCCCCACCTCACAGACTACTTGACTATGCCAGTTGCTTTGGCATCGGCCTGCAACAGCCTTCCTCTTCCCTGCAAGGACAGGCATCAAACTATAACTTTCAGAGGGGCGGTTCCCCAAGGCGCTCAAGGAAGCAATGGTCCGCCCCCTCTCCTGAAAAAGCCAACTCTGGACCCAGCTGAATTGGCCAGCTATCAGCCGGTGTCCAATTTGCCCTATTTGGACAAACTGATTTGAGAGGGCAGTGGCGACGCAGTTACAGGGATTTCTAGATGACGCTTCCGTCCTTGATCCATTCCAGTTTGGCTTTCGCCCAGGGCATGGGATGGAGGCCAGGCTTGCAGTCCTTTTCGGTGGCGGCTCCTACCTGGTGGAATGAGCTCCTGGAGGAGATCAGGGCCCTGCAGGACCTAGTGCAGTTCCGCAGGGCCTGCAAGACGGAGCTCTTCCGCCAGGCTTTTGAGTAGGAGCTGCTGCCGCCGCCACTACCACCACCATGCGACTGCAGAGCAGTTCCGCCGCGTCGGGTTGACTGGCCAGCTGAAATATCGTGGCCCATGGCATCCCCCCCTCTTTTTTTGACCCCATTGGGATATGCAATAGGGAGTAAGTATTGTAGTCATTATGTATCCTGTGAGATGTGCATTTTTGCCTAAACTGTTTTAACTGTTGACTTTTACTGCACTTGTGCCTTAATTGTTTTAACTTGTTGTATTTTTATCGCAATTTTGTGCCTGTGTAAGCCGCCCTGAGCCCGCATGCGGGGAGGGCGGGGTATAAATGAAATAAAATAAATAAATAAATAAATACACCTTACTCACCATAAACCCAGGCTACAGCAATGCATTCAAAGAATGCAACCCACAAGAGGCATACACCACTAGCTGCATAGTAGTCAAAGAGTTGAAACACATACATGCCACCCTGCAAAAGAGAAACACTGTGAAAAACATACACACACAGTGCATGAGTACTATTAATCACTATCACCCCCCCTCCCAAAAAAGTGCGGAAAGCAAGCTGACCTTATTCATCACTATCCTTCATATCTATGACTCACTTTGCAGAAGATTACCCATCCACAAGTGTGTCAATCAGCTCTTGGAGTGAGTTAAGTGCATACTTTGGTCCTTTCAAAAACCTGCA